TGGACGCTCTGCTTGGTTATGATCTTTACTAAACACATATTATATATTTGGAAGCTCTATTTGGTTATGTTCTTTACTTAACACATATTATATATTTGAACGTTCTACTTGGTTATGATCTTTACTAAACACAAATTATATATTTGGAAGCTCTATTTGGTTATGTTCTTTACTTAACACATATTATATATTTGCACGTTCTACTTGGTTATGATCTTTACTAAAAACAAATTATATATTTGGAAGCTCTACTTGGTTATGATCTTTACTAAACACATATTATATATTTGGACGCTCTACTTGGTAATGATCTTTACTAAACATATATTATATATTTGGAAGCTCTACTTGGTTATGATCTTTACTAAACACATATTATATATTTGGACGCTCTACTTGGTTATGATCTTTACTAAACACATATTATATATTTGGAAGCTCTACTTGGTTATGATCTTTACTAAACACATATTATATATTTGGAAGCTCTACTTGGTTATGATCTTTACTAAACACATATTATATATTTGGACGCTCTACTTGGTTATGATCTTTACTAAACACACATTATATATTTGGAAGCTCTACTTGGTTATGATCTTTACTAAACACATATTATATATTTGGAAGCTCTACTTGGTTATGATCTTTACTAAACACATATTATATATTTGGAAGCTCTACTTGGTTATGATCTTTACTAAACACATATTATATATTTGGAAGCTCTACTTGGTTATGATCTTTACTAAACACATATTATATATTTGGAAGCTCTACTTGGTTATGATCTTTACTAAACACATATTATATATTTGGAAGCTCTACTTGGTTATGATCTTTACTAAACACATATTATATATTTGGAAGCTCTACTTGGTTATGATCTTTACTAAACACATATTATATATTTGGAAGCTCTACTTGGTTATGATCTTTACTAAACACATATTATATATTTGGAAGCTCTACTTGGTTATGATCTTTACTAAACACATATTATATATTTGGAAGCTCTACTTGGTTATGATCTTTACTAAACACATATTATATATTTGGAAGCTCTACTTGGTTATGATCTTTACTAAACACATATTATATATTTGGACGCTCTACTTGGTTATGATCTTTACTAAACACATATTATATATTTGGAAGCTCTACTTGGTTATGATCTTTACTAAACACATATTATATATTTGGACGCTCTACTTGGTTATGATCTTTACTAAACACATATTATATATTTGGACGCTCTACTTGGTTATGATCTTTACTAAACACATATTATATATTTGGAAGCTCTACTTGGTTATGATCTTTACTAAACACATATTATATATTTGGACGCTCTACTTGGTTATGATCTTTACTAAACACATATTATATATTTGGAAGCTCTACTTGGTTATGATCTTTACTAAACACATATTATATATTTGGACGCTCTACTTGGTTATGATCTTTACTAAACACATATTATATATTTGGACGCTCTACTTGGTTATGATCTTTACTAAACACATATTATATATTTGGACGCTCTACTTGGTTATGATCTTTACTTAACACACATTATATATTTGGACATTCTACTTGGTTGTGATCTTTACTAAACACATATTTATATATTTGGACGCTCTGCTTGGTTATGATCTTTACTAAACACACATTATATATTTGGACACTCTACTTGGTTATGATCTTTACTAAACACACATTATATATTTGGACATTCTACTTGGTTATGATCTTTACTAAACACATATTATATATTTGGACGCTCTACTTGGTTATGATCTTTACTAAACACATATTATATATTTGGACATTCTACTTGGTTGTGATCTTTACTTAACACTTATTATATATTTGGACGCTCTACTTGGTTGTGATCTTTACTAAACACATATTATATATTTGGACATTCTACTTGGTTGTGATCTTTACTAAACACATATTATATATTTGGACGCTCTACTTGGTTGTGATCTTTACTAAACACATATTATATATTTGGACATTCTACTTGGTTGTGATCTTTACTTAACACTTATTATATATTTGGACGCTCTACTTGGTTGTGATCTTTACTAAACACATATTATATATTTGGACATTCTACTTGGTTGTGATCTTTACTAAACACATATTATATATTTGGACGCTCTACTTGGTTGTGATCTTTACTAAACACACATTATATATTTGGACACACTACCTGGTTATGATCTTTACTAAACACATATTATATATTTGGACGCTCTCCTTGGTTATGATCTTTAATAAAAACATATTATATATTTGGACGCTCTACTTGGTTATGATCTTTACTAAACACACATGTTATATATTTGGACATTCCACTTGGTTATGATCTTTACTAAACACATATTATATATTTGGACGCTCTGCTTGGTTATGATCTTTACTAAACACACATTATATATTTGGACACTCTACTTGGTTATGATCTTTACTAAACACATTATATATTTGGATGCCTTACTTTGTTTTGATCTTTACTAATTAAACACATATTATATATTTGGACACTCTACTTGGTTATGATCTTTACTAAACACATGTTATATATTTGGACGCTCCACCTGGTTAGGATATTTACTAAACACTAACTGTATATTTGAACGCTTTACTTGGTTAGGATATTTACTTAACCCAGATTGCATGTTAGATACATGTTATATGTTCCTTTTATCAGTTACTACTTACCTATCCATTAACTATCAGTGTATGTGCATCTTTCAAATTCATTTTTCAATGTTTAATTTCCATGTCTCAAGTTCAAGGGCACCAATAAAATAGTAACAATTTCCTTTTTTAGCTCACATGGCACAAAGTATGGTTTATTGTCTGTCGTCCATCAAGGGGTCCAAATGTGTTAAAAGCTTTAAAACAACTTCTGATAGGGTAGTATAAATTTGCATTCAGAAAATTTTCCCATGATTGCACAAATATTCAGGTGAGTGATAGTCGTCCGTGGTCTGTCGTCGGTCCTTAAACAGTTCTTGCTGTAGCTATTTCTCAAAAATGACTGAAAGGATCTTTCTCAAATTTGATATGTAGGTTTCCCTTGGTCCCTAGTTATGCATTTTCACTTTTGAGATTGATCAGATAAACAGATTGACCGACAGACGGCCATCTTGGGTTTTCACAGTGAAAGTATACATGTAGAAGGGCTCTTTCTCAGATTTGATATGTAGATTCCCCTTTGTCTTTACTGTGCAAATCTATTTTTGAGACTCATCTCCGAAAGATTTTATTTTTCAAATTTTTTATATAAGTTCCACTTGGTCTGTAGTTGTGCATGTTTACTTTTGAGACTGATCAGATAAACAAAATGGCCAACAGGCATCCATCTTGGATTTTGATAGTTATTGCTATTTCTCAGAAATTATTGGAGGGATCTTCAAATTCGATAAGTAGGTTTCCCTTGGTCCATTATTGTACATATTTACTTTTGAGACTGCATGATGGAATAAACAAAATGGTCGACAGGCATCCATCTTTGATTTTGACAATTAAAGTTTGTTATCACTATTTCTCAGAAGGTATACAGGAGGGATCTTTCTCAAATTTGATATGTAGGTTTCCCTTGGTCCTTAGTTGTGTATGTTTTATTTTCAGTGATTATGAAAAACAAGAAGGCCACAGGAAGTACTTAACAGATCTTTCTCATATTGCAATGATCAATATTGAAATATTGCTATTTCTTTTACATTTAGAACTGTACTAGTGAATATGTGAAATGACAAACCACTTTGAACATTTTCGTTTATGAACAGCAGTTTGAAATTTAGATTAAAATGTACCTAAAGGTGTGTGTACTATTTATTTAAATGACTCAATCAAACAGATTAGAGAGAGAGAAAAAAGAGAAAAGATTGAACTGAAAAAGAACAAAGAAGATGGTACAATGGTTGGCCCTGTAAACAGAGAGTATGGCACACCCCTCTGGGGGCAGAGGGATGGGGCCCATAGTAAGAAATGTTTAAAATCCTTCTCTTTCAGTTTTATTGGAGGATTTTAATGAAATTATGTGTAGAGCATTCTTAGGCAAAGGGGACAATGAGGGACAGGTGTTGCCGAGAGAATTAAAGAGACAATATTTGGAAATAGTTGCAGTATTATATTTAATTAGAATATTTTCTAATGGTTGCTTCATTATCAAGGTGAAGGAAACAAGCCCTCTGGTTTGAAAATGATTTAAATAAAATTCTGACGAATGATTTGTTGTAGAAATACTTTTAGAAGTTACCACCATTCAATTGGAAAAAAGAAGTTTGATTGGTGCTATGACTTTTTAAGTTACCTGAGCTTTAGCCAGGGCCGCCATTTTGAAAAACTATTTCAAACTTAAAGTCAAGTTCTGCTAGGCCGATTGAACTCAAAATTTGTAGGAATGATTGACTCATGGTCCTGACAAATCGTTGTTATTTTTCGGGTCGATCAGAAATCAAATATGGCCGCCACAGCCGCCATTTTGAAACACTATTTCAAACTTACAGTCAAGTTCTGCTAGGCCAATTGAACTGAAACTTTGTAGGAATGATCAACTCATGGTCCTGACAAAGTTTTGTTATTTTTCAGGTCGATCAGAAACACAATTTGGCTGCCATGGCCGCTATTTTGAAAATACCTATTTCAAAGTTCTAATAGGCCGATCTAACTGAAAATCGGTCTAGGAATGATCAGTCCTGACAAACTTAAGTTAACGTTATACTTAACAATTTTTTACTCAAATTGGTACATATTTCAACAACAAAAATAAATACTGTAGGACTCAGGTGACCAATAAGGCTCATGGGCCTCTTGTTGTATATGTAAGTAGCTATAGTTTCCCTTAGTGAAATAACCTGTTGTGATATATGAAAGTATTGGTATTATGTTTTGAAGAAGGTTTCAAGTCATGTATTATACAAAAATTGTTAAGTTTAGTGACAACAAGTATCACATGACATGTTATTGGTCCTTTACAGCCTAGAACAATCCACCTTTCCCCCAACGCTGCTGGCCAACTCATCACCAACTATGAAAAGGAGCAAGGTCTCGATATGCTAACAGAGGAGGCCAGATGTCAACCATGTTATCTACCATCAGAGGGTACTATTTGCCAGCCATGTTATCTACCATCAGAGGGTACTATTTGTCAGCCATGCAAACCACCATCAGAGGGTACTATTTGCCAGCCATGTAATATACCATCAGAGGGTACTATTTGTCACCCATGCAAACCACCATCAGAGGGTACTATTTGTCAGCCATGCAAACCATCATATGAGGGCAGCGGTTGTCGGAGTGGGACATTAAAAGCTTCATTGAACTGTGCCATTTGTGAGCCACTTAATTTACAATCAGAAGGCCCTTGTTGTCAGACTTTAAATCTACCACTGGAAAGTGTATCTGGACAGCCATCAAATCCACCTATTTGTCAGCCATATGGTCTGATGCCTGCTCAACTTATTACTGACGGTTTGTCTCTAGAGCAGTCACTTAATGAGGATGATTTTCTTGTATGATTGTAGATGGCTTTCAGAATATCATTCTTCTGCCTCACTTATGATTGGAATACTGTGAAGGAGGTCAATATGGGAATCTTGTACAAAGACGTTATAATGTTAGATCAAGATTACTTGAGTATTGAAATGTGACTATGAAAGATCTATTCCAGGGTGATTTTTGATGTTCTGCTCCTTAGAGACATTTTCCTGAAGAGTTCCACACTAATTTAGCTACCATATATCCTTAAATACATTACACTGACCAATATGAATTAAAGATTGAGAATGTAAAGATGCATGAAAAATCATAATTTTGGACAACAATAATTGTGTTATAGAATGATTTGTTGTTTTAATTGTCATGTCTACATTTGTGAGAATAAAATATGTTATGCTAGAATGTGTTAATTTCTGTTTTTGTTGAATTAATTTATTTCCTAAAAAATGAATATTTATTAAATGGAGTGTTTTCCTTCTTACATATTATAGTTAAGTGCTGGTCAGTATTGTTAGACCAATTTCTGTTTACTTTTTATGCTCCTTGTCTTGAACAAACATTATAAAGCTCCCTGAAATAGAATTTGACATTGTCTGGGTCATAAATTCTGACTTGCCGAAAAATATAACATAATGCAATTAAAGGCGGTGTCTTGCATACCACTTCACTGTCTGTATGCCCAAGGTCACATTAAGGTCAAAGGTCAAATTCAATGTCTGGGCTGAAACTTATAACTCTTCAAAGATATCTCAGTGAAATGTAAAGGGATAGATATAGGATGGCAAAGCCATGTGTCGGGTACTATGATTGGGTCTGTTCACCAAAGATCAAAGTCACATTATTGAGGTCAAAGGTTGAATTCAATGTCTTGGCCATAATGTCTGGCTCCCTGAAGATAGCTCAATGAAGTTTAGGGAAAGGTCAAACTCAGTTTCCGGGCCATGAACTTGTGTAATATAATAGCACAGTGAAATTTCAGGGATAAAGATACATAGGATAGGAAGGCAGTGCATCACATACCACTTCTAGGTCTGTATGCCAAAGGTGAAGGTCACATTTAGGTCACACTTACTTCCAGTCTTTGTGACCTTTTCGTTGATCATATCCATCATGTTAAGCTCACTTGGCCCTTTCCTGGCGCAGTGTCTGTCATCTGTCCATCAACTTTTTAGGTCACCTGAGCTTTAGCTCAAGTGACCTATTGCTATCCGTTTTTGTCCGTCGTCGTCCGTCGTCCGTCGTCCGTTAACATTTTACATTTCAAACTTAAAGTCAAGTTCTGCTGGGCCGATTGAACTGAAAGTTGGTAGGAATGATCGCCTCATGGTCCTGACAAAGTGTTGTTATTTTTCGGGTCGATCAGAAATCCAATATGGCCGCCACGGCCGCCATTTTGAAAACCTATTTCAAACTTAAAGTCAAGTTCTGCTGGACCGATTGAACTGAAAGTTGGTAGGAATGATCGCCTCATGGTCCTGACAAAGTGTTGTTATTTTTCGGGTCGATCAGAAATCCAATATGGCCGCCACGGCCGCCATTTTGAAAACCTATTTCAAACTTAAAGTCAAGTTCTGCTGGACCGATTGAACTGAAAGTTGGTAGGAATGATCGCCTCATGGTCCTGACAAAGTGTTGTTATTTTTCGGGTCAATCAGAAATACAATTTGGCTGCCATGGCCGCTATTTTGCTACTAAGTTCTAATAGGCCGATCTCACTTAAAATTGGTCTAGGAATGATCAGCTCATGGTCCTGACAAAGTTAAGTTAACATTATACTATTTTTTACTCAAATTGGTACATATTTCAACAACAAAAATAAATACTGTAGACTCAGGTGACCGTTAAGGCCCATGGGCCTCTTGTTTCCTTCAAAATTCCACTTGTCTTTAATGGCTCAGTGGATTTTGATCAAATTTGGTCAGGAGCATCATTGGCCAAAGGGTTCTCGTTTTTATATAAACAGAAGGGTATGGCCCCCTAGGGAAAAAGGGGCAGGGCAAAATAGGGGGGAAAGCAGTAAATCTTAAAAACCAGTAGAGGGATTTTGACTAAATTTCTTCTAGAGCAGCTTCTGAAAAGATGCCCCAATTCTGTATATAAAGGGAGGATGTGGCCCCCTGGGGGCAGAAGGGTGGGGCCCAATAGGAAAAAAAGGGGAATATCTTTCTCCTTCTGTACAAATGACAGGATTTAAACCAAATGTGATCTGGAGCATCCTTAGGTTAAAAGCCTCAAGTTTGTATATACATGTACTGAGGCTTTGGGGCATCAAGGAGAGTCCTAAAAAAAAAAAAAAAAAAAAAAAAAAAGCCTTCTCCCTCCCATTGTACCAATGAAGGATTTTTTTATCAGGTTCTAAAGCATCTTTGGGCTTAGGGGATTCAATTTTGTATAAACAGAGGATTTGGCCCTCCTTTAGGGCAGAGGGGCATGGCCCAATAGGGGAATAGAGTAAAATCTTTCTCCTTTAGTACAAATGAAGGGATTTAAACCAAATGTGGTCTGGATTATCCTTAGGAAAAAAGGACTCAAGTTTGAATTAACTGAGGCTGTGCCCCCCCCCTCCCTCTTTAGGGCAAATAGAGACAAAAGTTTTAAAAGCTTTCTCCTTCAGTGTGAAAAAAGGGATTACCACCAAATTTGTTTTAGATCATCTGTAGATTAAGGGTACTAAATTTAGTGCAAAAGGAGGGTGTGGCCCCCTTGGAGCAGAGGGGCCGGACCCAATATTATTAATAAAGAAAAGTTTTTTTTAATACTCCTTCAATACAAATGGAGGGATTTTAACCAGTTTTGGTCAAGTGAACCTGCAGGCAATGACAACTATCTTTTGTTTAAATGGGGGATGTGGCACCCCTGGTGGTAGAGGGCGGGGCCAAAGAGGGGAAGGAGAGTTTATTACAGTTTATTACAGTTGTGGGATCGCACAACGTTACACGAAGTGCGAACGATAAAAAATTGGACGATCATTGCTTTCGCACATTTGTGCGGACGATCGATGAACGTTTACGTGTGATAACAGTCGTGGTTGGTGTAAATTGAGGAATGGCTTAACAATATATATGGTTTGCTGTTTAAACATATAAACTTGATTGTTTAGTATGTTTCTATATTCTAGCTATATTCTAGCTACATTTATAAGCTTATCTTTCTGTCTATACTTTCTTAAATTTGGAAACGTTTTTTTCTGTGTTTTTTAAACGACCTTAATCGTCACATGTAAAATTACAACACTGTCTCGGCCACACAGGTAAACATAGCCACTTTGTACCTGGACCATAGTTATCCCTCGCCCGGGGCACTTGCATAACTCTCCAAGGTGTGAAAACCAGGCGAAGGGGAGCTATAGATCAGAACGAATGCAAATAACAAATACTCAATGTCCAGTTGTGTTTTCATAACGGTCATACGGTATCACATAGCAGCTCTATGTGTCAGGCACAGGCCAGGTAAAACTCTGGTCACTCATCAAATTGTTATTTACCTGTTCTGTTACCTAGCTAGGAGCAAAATCCATTCTTGACAGTCTAACGGTCACTGTATACTGTGTTACATGCATTGTAAAATTGTACCTAATTTTAATCATTGTGATGAAAAATTACAGTAATATATACAGAGTACATTATTGCAGACGAGCCTTCCAGTGTTTAGCTCACCTGCGTCCGTCGTCCGTCCGTCCCTCCATCCGTCCCTCCTTTAAAACGCTACTTGTCCTGAACAGCCCAGTAGATGTGTTCCATATTTAGTCAGAAGCATCCTTGGGGGGGGGGGGGGGGGGGNGGGCTGAGGGGCGGGGCCCAATAGGGGAAATATAGCAAATTCCTTAGAATCATTCACCTTCTGTAGGTATGAAAAGATTTGGTCCATATTAAGTCTGAATCATCCTTTGGTGAAGGGGAACCAATTTTGTATAAACCGTGGGAGCGGGCCCCCAGGGGCCTGAGGGGCGGGGCCCAATAGGAGAAACAAAGCAAATTCTTTAAAATCCTTCTCATTCTCTAGGAATGAAAGGATTTGGTCCATATTTGGTCTGAAGCATTCTTGGGTGAAGGGGAACCAATTTTGTATAGATGGTGGTTGTTGCCCCCCTGGGGGCTGAGGGGCGGGGCCCAATAGGGAAAATATAGCAAATTGTTTAAAATCCTTCTCCTTCTGTAGGAATGAAAGGATTTGTTTCATATTTGCTCAGAAGCAGCCTTGGGGGAAGAGGAACCAATTTTGTATAAACCGTGGGTCTGGCCCCCCAGGGGCTTGAGGGACGAGGTCCAATAGGGGAAACATAGAAAATTAGTCTTTAAAATCATTCTCCTTCTGTAGGAATGAAAAGATTTGGTCCATATTTGGTCTGAAGCATCCTTGGGTGAAGATCGAGGAACCAATTTTGGATAAACCGTGGGTCTGGCCCGCCAGGGGCTTTAGGGACGAGGTCCAATAGGGGAACAAAGAAAATTAGTCTTTAAAATCCTTCTTCTTCTGTAGGAATGAAAAGATTTGGTCCATATTTGGTCTGAAGCATCCTTGGGTGAAGATCGAGGAACCAATTTTGGATAAACCGTGGGTCTGGCCCCCAAGGGGCCTGAGGGGCGGGGCCCAATAGGAGAAACAAAGCAAATTCTTTAAAATCCTTCTCATTCTCTAGGAATGAAAGGATTTGGTCCATATTTGGTCTGCAGCATTCTTGGGTGAAGGGGAACAAATTTTGTATAAATGGTGGTTGTGGCCCCCCCTGGGGGCTGAGGGGCGGGGCCCAATAGGGAAAATATAGCAAATTGTTTAAAATCCTTCTCCTTCTGTAGGAATGAAAGGATTTGTTTCATATTTGCTCAGAAGCAGCCTTGGGGGAAGAGGAACCAATTTTGGATAAACCATGGGTCTGGCCCTCCAGGGGCCTTAGGGGTTGGCCCAATTGGGGAAACATAGCAAATTATTCTTTAAAATCCTTCTTATTCTGTCAGAATGAAAGGATTTGGTCCATTTTTTGTGTGGAGTATCCTTGGGTAAAGGGAAACAAATTTTGTATAAACGGTGGGTGTGCGCCCCCCCCCNCGACCATCGGGATTAAGGGATTTTATCCTAATTTGGTCTGGAGGATCCTATGGCCAAGGGGACTCAATTTTTTATAAGCAGTTTATTTGGTCTCCAAGGAGGCACAAGGATGGGGCCCAATAGGGGAAATAGAGGTAAATCCTTAAAATCCTTCTTCTACCATAGGGATGAAGGGATTTTTTCCCAATTTGGTCTGGAGAATCTTGAGCAAAAGGGACTCAATTTTGTATAAACAGTGAGTGTGGCCCCTCTGGGGGCAGATTGGCGTGCCCATTAGGGAAAACATAGCAAAATTCTTCAAAAACCTTCTTCTTCTGTTCGAATGACAGGATTTTGTCAAAATTTGG